TGGAATTCCACAGCCTCAACCTTTGCAAAACTTCTCTGGAATTTTTACAGGAGCTGATGTAGCTGGATGTTTTAATTCTGAATCTAACCTACTCACTCTCACATTTTGAGTGCTCTTGTAAAACTGTCTTGTATCAAGATTGCCCTCTGCCTCCTCCATGACTGATCTTTGGAGGAAAGCATGCGAGGTGTATTTCATGGTACCGGACTACAAATAATTTTCTATTCAATGTTGCATGCCAAGAACAGCTTTGGACTCTTTAAAGTGACAGATAAAATTTGAAGACAATGGATAATAATTTAACAAACTTTGCAATTCTCCCCCTCCAATTAATGAAATAACTTAAAAGTCAGGTTGCTGAATTACATCATTACATGTGTAGTAAACAAAGTCTGCAGGAAGTTCCATTTGAGGATAATACTGGAAATCTCCAGAGAAGCCACTTTTTATCAGCTCTGCCAACATATCCTTCAGCATTTTTCTGTGCATATCTGAAACTGAATCAAGATAGTGAAATAGCTTGCACTAAGGACTGCTCATGAAACTGATGAGAAGCTTTAGTTAATTTTACTAAGAAAACCTTTTGGGAACCTCTAGTCATTAACTGCTATCTATTAAATTGATAGCTGAACATTCAGTGAATATTATTAATTATATGAAAACACTACAGATGTTCCAGTTCTTACAGAAACTATGGTAATGCACAACAAAATGACTGGAAGTCCTTTGAAGAATAGTTCCGACAACAGTAGCTAATTACTTTTAACATTTGTATTACATTTCTCATTAGGTTTATTGTAGAAATTAAATTATGACAAAGTACTGTCCATGAATTCCTGATTAAGCCCGAACAATATTCCTAAAGTTACTCTGTTCATCAGCTATCTGAGGCTCTACTGCTGACAAAGACATTAGCTTGTTAGCTTGGTGGCTGAACAGGTGGCCTAAACGAGGGGAAATGCTGACTATACATGAAGTAAAACTGAAGGTCTTGACACAACAGGAATTATCTATTTCAAGTGTGGGCAGTAGATTCTAATTCTGTTTCATGCTGAAGGTAGTTTCGAAATATGAATCTCAGCCAAGGTACAAAGCCAACACTTTGGCATTCGCTCAGCCTCCTTACCTGTAGCTGAAATTTGGCAGCTAGTTGTCGGTATTGTGGGGAGTTGGGATCATTAAGTTCAGCTGTGTACTCCTGATCAGTGAGAGTGACACTGAATTCTACCATTTGCTCCACAGGCAGTTCTGGGACTGTATTTGTTCCCAGCTCCTGGAAAAGGAGAGGAAAAAAAAGGGGAGAAATAAAACTAAGTGATTTTCCCCCCCGATTTCAGTATTTACTAGGTAGAAGGGTTCCCTTTTAAGCCCATCCCCAAAACAACTTTCTGAACCATATCCTACAAAAGGCGAGGGTTCCTAGCCACATCTGTTGGCTTAATTCTTCTGCCTTTGCAAACGAGTTTCTCTTACTGTAACTTGAGAGTAGCCTTTGATGTGCATAAATGAAGGCAATGAAAAGGATCAAGCCATTTCATGCACAAGTCTTCTTATTTCCATCATTGTTAAAGTCATGCAGATTTACTCGCCACTTTGGAGGAAAGTGTGTGACATAGAGTAACAAACAAATGCTAAAAGCCAGTTGGTATCCTACCCTCAGAAAACTCATAGTCAACCAGAGCGACTGCTAAACTCTCTGTTACTGTTTTATGTTCAGATGCTTGTATTCATTTTTTCCTGATAATAGAGAAGAATTAGCTCCACCTGTGTTACACCTTTCCTGTGTAGTTGACTTTACTGCTACTGAAAGTGCTATTTTGTTTGCTGTTTTCTGGCACTACTTGCAGTTTTGGCCTATATTTACTAGTTTTTTCCTTTAATGTTAAATGCCAAAGATCTATTCATTTGTAGGCTACGATGTGCTGGCCACAAAGAGAAAAGCCACCATGGGTGCATTTAGAAAGATTTCCTAATTCATCCTAGATAGAAAGTTTGCTAAGTTAAGATCAGAAGTTGCCTCTTGTTCCTTATTCGCAAACAGAGCTGAGCTTCAAATTTCAGGTCCTGGAATATAAGTGCCCGAAGAGATGATGCAGAGAGGCCACCCAGGAACCTCCTGCCAATCTCTCAGTCCTTCACAGATCTTATTGCTAATGTTAACACAGATTATCCCTGCGTTTCACTGCTGATGTATTTCATTACACAATTTTTATTTTTTTTTTCTGAACAAAACCTTTCAGGGTTCTGTAAAGTTTGTCTGTTAAAAATATGAAAGTCTTGGAACACAAAACAGGTTTTTCTTTACTGCATGTACTGCATATACATTGCATATTTATACTTATTAGCAGTACATACTCTGTATTCTTTAAACACATTTTTTATAGTTTTATTTGCTCAAGGGCAATTCTACTCCCAGATAGACTTTTTATACCTTGGATAAACAAACAAACACAACAAGAGCAAGACAATGATCAAGAAGAAACTGGCCCAAAGGAGCGGGAAGCTCATCAGCCTGAATCCCACAGAGAGCTGATGTTTCCACTTCTGCTGCCAGGTGGGTTGGCACGAGGCTGCCAGAGACATCTGTCCCATACGTAACACCAAAGTTTTGATAGCTTCCAAGAATAAGCAGAACAAGAAATGTGTGCAATTATGGTATGTCAGGAGATAAGAGAGAAAATAAGATGTTAATATAATAAAGAATGAATGAAACTGGAGACAACTCTTTCTGCAGTCATTGATTTTGCATGACTCAGCTCTGCTAAGTCATTCCTTAGGATGCCCCAGTTTTAGAGGGACATACGCTTTGTGTTGTATGTAAAAAATATGGCTCATCAGTTAGAGAAAGAGCATTCTGTAATGTTCTATCATATAAACAGAAGATTAAGGAATATGCACGTCCTATATAGCTGCTTTGTGACTTCTGAGGAGCCAGCCTTTAGGGAGCTGGTCACCAAGGACTGGGCCAAGAAAGAATGAGGAGACCTATAACATGGAGGAACCAGTTAATGCCAGTCTCCCAGTACGTCTCAAACGTCACAAACAAGCAATTTTGAACTCACTTTTTCCTCATATTCGGTCTGCTTTTTTACTCCAACAGTTATGATACAGGTAGGTAGCACACAGTTGACAATATTAAGATTATTTTACTTTCTTAGATCCTGAGGACGTAATCATTTTGAACAGTAAAAATAGCATTTATCTGGTATCACTCCCATACAATTCCTGTGTTGGAGCTGAGCAGCTTGCAGAGGTGGACTGGAGAATGGTGGCGATTTGCCAGCGGTGTGATGGGGGAGGCTTCGGCCAGCATTTCTGCCCTCAAATTCTTGGCGGCAGTAGCACCACGACCTTGAGTTCACCCGAGTAAGGAGGAGGCAGCACGAGCCTCTTCCTACAGCCAGTAGAAACAACAAGATAACCCCTCAGAGTGGCTTTTTGAGGAGCTGCTCTAGAAGGGCGAACTTCTCAGAAATCGAAAAAAAAATCTCAGAGCAAAGCAGAGGGGAAGTGCAAGGGGCCAGTTCCCCCCGGGGCTCCTCAGGAGCAGGCCCCACCCTGGGCCCTCAGGCCCTGGCGAGGCCTTGGTCTCTCTCCAGAGGGAGGTTCCAGATGGTTCCCTGACACCACGCTGCTGTACTGAGAACAGGGCTGCCTCCCTGCCACCCCCAGGTGCTGCAGCCTGGACAGGGAACATGGCAGTCCCTCCTATCACCCCCACCCTTGTCTTGGATGTAAGTGGCCTGTGGTAGCTGCTGTAAACCCGCAAAAGAGGCGGCAGCCCCCGGCGCCATGCTACATGGTTGCTCTGAGGAGACATCAGCGGAGATTCCCTGTTTGACAGCTGGCTGTCTAGCAGGAAAAAAGCAAGAAAAGGAAAAAAAAAAAAAAGAAAAAGAAAAGCAAGTCCAGTCCTGTCCCCTGTGTCATGGAAAGCTCAAAAGGAGTGCATTTTTAGATTATTTAATGAAGAACAAGGTTACAAAATTGTGCAAAGTAGGCAACGGGCCCCTCATTGAAAGAATGAAGTCTGCCTAAAAGCTAATTGACATGTTTTTATACTTTCTATTGCATATGAAAGAAGCAATATGCCCTATTCCAGTACAGAACAGATGCTAATAAAACCCTTCAGTCCTACGAGCAGTAACAGAGGGGAGCACTCATGGTTTATAAACACTGGGTGTTTATAAGGCTTCCCCCTCTTTTCTGTTAGCTGAGCTCAAAAAGAAGAGGTGAGTGAAAAATTGGGATAGGAAAACAGGCTGCCCTCACCTTCACAGGAGTCTTCGTGTCGTTAACGATTTCGTTGAGCAGTGTGCCATTAGGTACCGGTACGTACGGAGAGAGGGATGTGCCAGGGGAGCCTGGGGAGGAATTAAAGTAAAATCAGGCAAGAACAGCTTTGCACATCAAAAATCTTCCCTTTTCTCTGTTGGTTGGATGTCAACTCACTGGAGAAGCTTTCATTGTGCAGGGTGTGTTTGAGCACAAGCCTGTACCAGTGAAAGGTGGTCATGACTTAAGGCATGTGTAAAGCCACTACTTTTTATACAACAGAAGGCCTTTGTTTCCAGGTCAAAACATCAGTAGCATTATGTGTGTGACTGAAAGCAAAAAATGTCACTGACCACACATCAATGAAATTTTGTGAATGAAATAATAATATTTAATCATTTGCCATACTTCATTGTATATCACCAAATGTCTAAGCTTGATTTTGACAATTGAGATCTTTGTCTCTATGACAGACACATTTCATTAGGGGTCAGTTGAAAGTAACAAGAGGTTTTGACAGAGTTTTCCAGCTAGAGGCAAAATTATGGTGCCAGAAGTTGCTATCAATAAGATTCTGTCATATTTGGCCCTCATAAAAACATGTATGCAGGATGTTTCTTCCTTGAACTAAAATGCTCATATTTAGAGATTTTTATCACTGCATAAATTTCTAACATTACTTTAAAGAACTGTAGTACACAACAGTGTTGGTAGGTCTAATTAGAATAATCTGCTCAAATTAGTGTCTTGGCATCTGGCTAAAGTCATTCTTTATTTTCATATGTTTTCTTATTTTGGCTAATAAAATGCAGCAGCTGACATTCAAAATGTTATTTCATAACTGAAGCAAAATTAGCTCTGCTCTCCACACGTGAAACTAGGAAAACATATGCGTTTAAAGACTTTTAAACAAACCTGGAATGCTACATTTTGAGTAGCAGACATGCTGTAAAGAAATAAAAAAATGCTTATAGATTATTTCGCTAAAGCAATTTCAGTGTACTTCGCTGAACTTGTCATGTTTCTACTGCATTCACTAAATTATAGCCTTGTAAGATCTATGAGTCGCTGGTTTTAGCAATTCTATTTAATAGGCAGACGCACAGCAAGCAGATCTGATTTTACCTGTAGAAATGGAAGGAATGTCTTCCAGCTTTTTCCCACCTGTTTTCTCTGTGGATATTTCATCTTTCCTATCAATCAAATACAAATGAGTGATTTAATGGTCAGCATGCTGTACTGGCAATGGCAAAAGTGTAAAAAAAATTAAAAAAGCCATAGATATGACTCCTATCTTAAGTGTATTTTAAATGAGAGAAGTTATTTCTAACGAGTATTTGGTAAAGTGGTTAAACAGCCACTGGAACAGTAGATCACATTTTGTATTCAACAGTTTATATATTTCCTTTCGTCTCCTTCAATATGGTATTTACTTTTACCATGAACAAAAAATACTGGTTTGATATATTCCTCCACCGAGACTACCAATCCTGTCAACAGTCTGTTCATGAGGTTTCATGACTGATTTTTTCTCCAATCAGAGGGATGGGGTCACAGATATTAAATCAGTGCACAGGGTCTGCTTTTTACCTCTTTGAAGTCTGTGAATGGTTGGCAACTGACTAAAATGGAAGCAAGGCTTCTTGTGCGTTATCTAAAACAACTGCTGTCTCCTTTGCTAAATCTCATTCTATCAAGATCAGTGAGGACTTTGGGCTCCTTCTAATTTTAGAGGCAATGGACGTTTCCTGGTTCCAAGGATATTTCGTATGGTTTTGTGTGAGGAGAGGATAGGTGGACTTATTTTTGAGTTGTCAGCCTGCATTGTGATATCATAAGGACGCTTCCAACTAGCGATATTTTTAAATCAGATTCCTGGATCAAGATTATTATGAATTATAGGAAGGTTTATGTCTGGATCTGGCTGTAATATTCATAGATTAATGGCTACTGTGGTACCCATGGCAGACAGCTGAAAATCCAAGTAAGAATATGGTGGGTGTGATATACAGGTTGTCTGCCTTGCATCACAGGATTTGTTTTTGTATTGTTGTATTATTTTCTGTTGTAAGTTTTACAGTCATGTGCTGATGAATAAATTTTGTAACTATCACTGTTAACTTGTATGAAAAAAGTGGAAGTGGCATGCATATGTAAGTACATTTTATAATAGATGTGTTAAAAGATTCCTGCATTTAAGACTATAGAACAATTATTGTTTTAAACACAAATTTTTATTCATTTGTAGCTTTTGGAAACTTAGATAAGAATCGTCTCAGTGACATTGTGAGATTTTTCTTTCCTGAAGTCAGGGTGTGAAGAATTTTAGTTGTTTCAGGTTCTAATTAAAGTGTGGAAAAAACCACAGCATAAAATAAAAAGCCCAATTGTGGAAATAAATGAGGACAGAATTCCCCAAAATTTCTATAAGAATAGGTATTATTAAGGCAATGCACACAGGTGGAGGGTTTGTGAAAATTGCTATGAGTGAAAAAATTCAGGGCACTGCAAATGTGTAGTGTGGCGTTAACTGAGGCAACGTGAATCTTGTAGCACAGTCAGAAGAGATGGCTGGGCTGCATTTCTAGACAGGACCAACCTAAATGTTTAGTAATATAAATAAATAACATAAACAACTCCTGATTTACCACATCCTCTGGTTATCTTGTGTGGTGAGAACTAAAGTATTATTTGTTATGTTTTCACAATGTTAACTAATTATATGTTGCATTTTTAACTTGAGACTTATCTCTCTACAGGGTGTCTACAGAAGACACAAAACGTTTCCCAAACTACACAGTAGTAAAGATGAAGTCCAACAATGCCTAATCATGGCTGTCTGTGTTTCCAGCTAAAATACAAGTAATTTCATAGAATTTACTTCACCTTAGGAATTGTGTCTAGTGAAAACCATACTGTTCCTAGAGAGTATAAGAACTCTGAGGTCAATGACTTCACTTACTGCCTTACTGCTGCTGTTTGCACTCGACTGAGTGCAAAGACCTCCTTTTGGACTTCCAGGAGAGTTTAATTAGACCCTACATTACTAAAAAAGCATTTCTGAGAAAGAAGAACACTCAAAGCTCCCATGTCATAACGAATAAAGATACATAAGACCTCTGTGATCATGAGACAGTATAACTTATAAATGGAAAAGATATTTGCTACATCTGAAAATCTAAGAAAATTTGAAGGATAAAAATACATGTATTGGAGAAACTGTGGACAATGATTTGTCTGGCTGTGCTATAGTATTTATAAGCAAAGAGACAGAGTTCAGTGTTGTAACTTTAATCCTGCCATTCTCAGACTTCTGAGCATTGCCAGGAGCATACTTTTTTCCCCCGAGAGTTTATGAACAAAGCATCTCATTAGTTAACACTATCATGATGTGTAAAAATACAGGTGAAAGCTAAAATGAAGGTATAAAGTTTTCATATTATTGGTTAATGTAGCCTCCCAGATAAACTTTTGCTAAGATCTCTGACTTTCCTTTTGAGAATTATAGCAATTGTGGGTAATCTTTTGTCATGCTCCTGATCAACACTAGTCTAATGCAAAGCCGTGGCTCTGTCAGGTTTTCCTGTTCACGTTAGTCTAAGAAGACATTCTGTTGGGTCTCGAAGTGAAGAGGCAACTCAGACATTTGGTCACCTTCACTATTTGTGATTTAAATACTGTGTACTATGTAGGATACATACAGTATACACATCTCTCACAGCACACACCAAATACACCACAGTGCTATCTGTGTATCTGTTCACATCCACGCACATCTACATATATCTTTTTCAAAAAAGGCAGTAACATCAAGTGGCAAGGTTCTACTCGTGCTACTTACCTTTCCTGGAAGGTTCTATGTTTTACTCGCTGCGAAAAGATTAAGAAAAACAGCATTTTACTAGTGGGTGTATCCAACCATTGAGCAGAAGCCTGTTAGAGCTTTCGTTTACTGTACTTTTATGTTTTCCTTCTAACACATGCCCCCTCCTCTTCCTGAGCAATATTTTGCCCTTATATAAGCAGATGGGGAGGGACTTGGAAGTCTCCCCCAGTTTCTAAATAGATGTCAGTGATCCTCACCCGTTGGATTATTTCCAGGTGCTCTTGGGAATTGCTGAAGTTTTTGCCAATGTCGAATATGCAGAAGGTTTCCCTCTGGCAGGCAGTAACCCAGTTCTGATATTCAGAAGTATCAGGAATCCGATCCAGAAAAATACGAAAGGCTTCCCACACAGCTTCCTGGCAGACTGAGTAAGAAAAAAAGGGCGGGGGATGGATGCTTTGTACTAAAAAGTAGACTTGAAAGCCTTTCTAAAGTGATTGAGGATTTACGCATTTTACTGTACTTAGTAAACAAATCCAGCTTCTAGGTATTTTTAGGTATTCAGATCTTTTAAGTATTTTTGAGTTGTCAGTTATTTACCTTTATGTTGAAGGATTAACCATCTTTGAGTTAAGGATTGCTAATTTCCCTCATTTCAAAAGAGATTTATTTGGCCTGACATCATCGTCATGAACAAGGAGCAAACACAGAGCAAATTTCCTTCACCTCAAAGGTACACACATACAAAGATACACACTAGATGTTCTAGTGAGAGCAAACAGGGAGGTAAAGGAAAAAAATAATCTAGCAGTCATCGTATTTGAATAATCATAATTTTAACTGGATACAAAACTTTTGTACGTTAGTATGGTTAACTATGCATAGAACAAGCTAAACAGAACATATTTAAGATTTTCATATTCCCCCTCCGCACAACATATTTTAATGGAAAATATATTTTTTAAATGCACTAGGCTAAAAAGATTTGATTATATTCCAAATTTTCAATGTAATTAGTCTTTTCAAAATCTAAAGGACATTAAGCAGCAGGTAGATGCTTTTATGTTTCTTTAAACATCTCCGGAAAAATTGAATGACTTAGTATAGGTAGAATTCCTTTGGAAAGAACATGATTTCCTTCCTCTCTACACAACTGTACACAGTCATTGGTTCAATGTTAAATATCTCCTCCATGGTTATGAATCACCCAGTTAAATGCCAGGCTACTTCAGACAGGACCAGCAGGTACTGTGGCTGCAGAGAAAACAGTGGCATTCTATCATTTGGGGAAATGAAAATGAACATAAAGAGAGTAAGACAGTGAGGGAGATTTTGAAAAAGTGTTATTCAGGAATGGCTCTAAGGGAGCTTCATTTACCGAATGCAAACTGACCTAGTTACATGAGATAATGTAAACCACATAATATAATGGTGGAGACTAAGACTTTTACGTATTCTGTTGGCTCGCTCCTTATGCAAGAAAGCTGTGAAGTTCATCTGTAGTATGTTGCAAAATATATTAGAACGCATATTTGGGCTTGCTGTCCAGTTTTTATGATCTATTTTCTAGTGGTCAAAACTCTGTCAGGCATTTCAGGGTAAACTTGTAAAAGATATGTTCCTGCTGCAAAGATCTTGCTCTCTGGCACTATGAGTGAGGATCATGACATGCATGAGTACATGAGGGTGGGGAGAAAGTAGCAGCAGCTAGGTTATAAAATGACTGCTCAGAAATACTTCATAGGGTTTACTTTCCCTTGATGATTCTGATAACACAGAATCTTGGATATGTCTGATAACACAGAATCTTAGATATATGTGAAAACACAGGTCTTAGATGTCTGCAGAAGTGAGTTTTTGAGAGTCACAGATGGCCAGGTGGGGCTACACTTCTGAGTGCACTTTTACCACCATCTTGCTGAAGTCTCCTCTTTTTTTGTAAGTTGAAACCATTTATAAAATATTCTGGAGGATAAATTGTTCCCTCCTCCAGACAGCTACTGCCTACCTACCTAACTATACTAACATGTCTTTGGATTTCTGTTCAGATACCAGCCCTTCCCCACATCCAAAATATATGTGTTTCATTTAACTCACTCTGGACAGCCTCAAACTAAGCATAGAATGAATCCTGGCTGCACCTGAGTCAGGTTTAAAATCACTGAGTGTTCCAAAGAGATCCTCAAGCTAGCACAGAGCCAGCCAGGAACTGCTGTTCTGTGGGGACTTCCCTGCTTAACTGCAGAAATATCCACTTACACAGCTTGTACTCTGATGAGTGAGTGAACTCCGTGGTGTAGGATAACCACCATGGCTTGGTGGCTGCTAGAACCAACGCGTTTTGAACAGAAACTCTTCAGTTTATCTCAGCTGTCGCTATACCTTCACATTCAGGGGCTACTGCCTCTGTTACTACTTGTCGATTCCTCTGGTACTGTTAGAGTCAACAAAGCCAGCTGTGTTTTTGGCTTTGTGAAAATATAATGTATGCTCACTCAAGATGAAGGAACACACTTCTTTGAAATGTTGTTTAAAGTTAAATGCTTGTAGAGAAGGGGATTTCAAATGTATTAGGAAAATGGTTTTAACAAAAACGTGCTAGCAATTTAAAAGCTGCTGCCTTTAACTCTTTACTTTGTGAAGTTCGTTACAGTAAGATGGGACATTTGTTTTCAGTACTTGATACCTGCTTTGACTAAAAGTGAGATCATCATCTGCATTATCTAAAATATCAGTGTGTCTGAAATTAGTGCAATCAGTTTCTCCAGGTATTCTCTAAACTTGCTGTAGGGATGTACTCACCTAGCTGTGTTAGGGCACCTCAATAATACCTCAGGAACGACCTGCCCTCCCAGTAGAGCAGCTGCATGTGGAGCAGATGTGTTCAGATTATTAAACAGGAACAGGCTGTCTTTTGAAGAGACCTATTCATTATGAGCTAACAGTTAAGGCTATTTTCTATCATTTTTTTTGTTACAACTCTATGGTATCTGTTTTTCTGAGCAGCAACTGCTGAGTAAAGACATAAAGTAATCCAGCTACCAGGGTTTAGATAAACATGACACACGGTCAGCTGAGGAAGCATTGTAGCTGATTCCATGCATGCTCTCAGTTTGCCCTATGTGAGGGACTGTCTTCGTGGTGACTTAAGCTATGGTGTGTTAATTCAGAGCTGATATAGGGTACAGTAGGCTCAGGTTATCCGATAGCAACTGTTTGAGCTCCTGTATCTGAGCTGCTTGGAGGACTTGAAGGGGTGGAAGTGGTCTCTTAGACGTTAGGTATGGGAAAGAATGGACCTAAAGATATGTCTACAAACTAAAATGAAGGTATGATTGTCCCACAGATAGGCATATGCTGTAAGACTCCAGCATGGCTACCAGATTATCTTTTCATGAAGGCTTGTAGTGTGCTTATAGCTTCAACGATAATTCTTGCATCCCCACATTTTCCACTTCTACATTTTTTTTTTTTAATTTTTATTTATCACTTTCATCAGGTAAGTTAGCATGCTCAGCTTGGAGGGCAGAAGTCTTGATTCTGATCTTTCCTTGAAGGGAAGATTTTTTGAGGTTTTAATGAAGGACAGTGTAAGGGAAAATGTGCAACTACTCAAGAGAATAGAACCACCTTTTTCGGAATGAGTGTGCAAATTACTCAGCTGCGGTCACCTGTTCTCTTGCTCTCTACTTTTTGGGAAGAACTCCAGCTTCAGTTGAAGAACTGGATGACACCTACTCAGAGAATTTTGTAAGTGCAGGACACTCAGCTGGGAAAGAGGAGATGTAAGTTTAAACCCACTTGCACTACAAGACTTATAGACCCCGATATCCCAGCTGTGCGCTGCTCAGGTGGTAGTATTGGCACCATCAGTTTCTAAATTAAAATGTTATAGTTGCAATTCTTTGAGTTCAGATCAATGATACCAGCCTGTCCCAGGATAGCTTTTTTCAGCCCAGTCAAATATGTGACCAGAGAGTTTTAGGGACTTTCAGGATTAATTATTATTTAAGAAAGACTTTTTGGATCAGCCTCTTTAACGCGTTTCAGATTTCTGTCTAATGCCCATTAGGTTGGAATTCAGTCCCACAACAGATACCAAATGTGTTTGTATCTATAGGAATGGCTACAGACATTGGTATAGTTTGCCCATGCTGCCTATAGCAAGTGGCTGCTGGAGTTAAATTTTTGCAGCTCTACATCCAGGTTTCATTTCAGAGAGAACTAGCTGGTTCCCTGAAAGAGAGCTGAGGAGTAGCCAGGTTACATACACGTATGTGAATGTCTGGAGACCAATATAGAGGACAAATAGATAAGCAAAGTTGATTTAGAGAGTAGATGTTGCCTTAGATACTTACATCCCAGAAGTGCTGACCAGGTTTTAGAATTAGCTTTGGACTGTCTAGCTGCAGCACAAAAATATGCATTTTTCTAACACAAATTGTAAAAGCCAGAGACTGAACCTGAGAGAGGCAGAGGGAGGAAGACAGAAAATACAAAAACCATGGGGCTATTTGCACTGTGCCCTCTAGGGACCTAAAATTGGAGTGGTACCTCTATAGGCTGTCTACTGTCAAGGGAGGTAAAGAAAGGGGTGGGGCAGGGGTGAATTGATTTGGAAAGGGCAGAAAAACCATTCTAGAGTTTTTTAAAATAATACTCAGGTCTTTGCATGAGCTGCTGGCAATTATGTCAGTGTTCGTGGCATACCAACACTGCCACAAATTAATATAACTACAGATACATCAACATATTTGTGCAATGCACAATGAGTAGTTTCATTACTTGTCTTGAACTGATGGGATTAATTCTGAGTAGCAATGATGGTACCTGCTGCACCTGAAAGGTGGTACATCTTTACACAGTGGTGCAAACATAATTTGGTCTTCACATTCTGCTGTGCCAGAACACTATGCAATTACACTGAGTTTGTTAGTCCTTTGAGGGCATTGTTTTATTCTGTTCTGGTAACTGTCTGTCTTGAACCATGCTGCTGCACATGTAACATTTGATTATCTATGTAAAAATAAAACATAAAGCAAAAAGAACATACACTGCCTAGAGCTAAAGAACAAGATTCTGGAAAATTATTTCGTTTCCTCAGTTAAAAGAAATACTTTCAAGGACCAAGTACATGCTACGATCACCATCTTACCTCTTAATCTGTAGTAAGCTTGGTGACTGGCTAAAATCTGCTTCACTGATTCTTGTGGGCAAACTTTCACACCAGTTGAGAAAAAGGATGATCTCTTTGTTCGGTGTTTTGCCATGTCAAATATCCGCCTTATGGTTGATACTCTGGACCTCTTTGTTGTTCTTTCTGTTTTTTCTGACCCTGAGGCATCTGCAAGTTGTTTGGCTTCACCATGGTTTATTTTATTAGGGATTTCTGGAAAAGATAAAAAGTAAGCATGTACATAAACATACATTGCATAGGCAGTAGGTGACCAATGCAAGATCATGTCTGGAAAATGGGCATGAACCTGAGAGTTCTTTTTGTTACATCATTTTGGTGTTAATGCCCTCACTGAATTCATGTGCTGAGAGAAATGTGTGATCACATGGTGGAATTGGGATTCAACAGACCTTGTTACTAATTTCTTTATATCTCAACATGTGACTCCAGGACACACAGGTTAAAAGTTTCAGAAGCCCTAAATCTTGTTTTCAGAAGTGACTTTGGGTTAGATCCACAAAGGACACTTAAGTGCTTGAACTTCGTGCTACAGCATCTCATTTGTGAGCCTATCACCCTGTAGGGAACAGTGATAAGTAACGGTCTGGAGCTTAGGGAAAGTGAAGCATATCTGTATCGGCTTACGTGTAAAAAGGTGTCTATGTTAGCAGATAAGGAAAATGAGAAATAGCTGTATCTTAAATCTGCACCTTTTTAAGATACTCTTATCTTTCCCTTCAGATTCAAGGCATATCTCCCTTCACATCAGTTTCATAGTCTTGAACCTGTCCCAAGAACTGGACGCTGAAACACTTTCTTTCAAAAGCTGAACAGGAATTTGATTGTCTTTGGGGAAAGAAAGAGCTGTTTCCAGTCTCCTCCTTTTACTCCACAGTGCACTGCTCTATCCTTCCCTCATGTAAATTGAAGCGCTAATCAGAACAGACTGCAATTACGTTTCTTTGCCACTGGATGATAGGTGTTGTGAAAGCTCTGGCATTGTATCTCAATAGATTTTTAATTGTTCCTGGCAAAGGGGAGCAGCTACACTAGGAAAAAGTGAAATCAGTGAGTGGGAATTGAAGATCTAGTCTTCCATTTTACTTATGAAGCTACTCTGATACAAAATCATAGAATAGTTTAAGTTGGAAAAGACCTGTAAGATCATCAAGTCCAACCGCTAACCTAGCACTGCCAAGTCCACCACTAAACCATTTCCCTAAGCATGATATCTACATGTCTTTTAAATACCTCCAGGGATGGTGACTCAAGCAGTTCCCTGGGCAGTCTGTTTCAATGTTTGACAACCCTTTTGGTGAAGAAATGTTTCTTAATATCCAAGCTAAACCTCCCCTGGCACAACAGGACATTCCCTGCTGTCCTATCATTTGTTACTTGGGAAAAGAGGCCGACACCTTTCTCTCTACAACCTCCTTTCAGGTGGTTTTAGAAAGCAATAAGGTCTCCCCCGAGCCTCCTTCTCTCCAGGCTAAACAACATCAGGTCCCTCAGCTGCTCCTCAGAAGACTTGTTCCCTAGACCCTTCACCAGCTTCATTGTTCTTTGAACACGCTCCAGCACTTCAATGTCTTTCTTGTATTGAGGTGTCCAAAACTGCACACAGTGTTCGAGGTGCGGCCTCACCAGTACCGAGTACAGGGGCACGATCACCTCCCTGCTCCAGCTGGCCACACTAATTCTGATACAGGCCAGGATGCTGTTTGCCTTCTTGGCCACCTGGGCGCACGGTTGGCTCATGTTCAGCTGACTGTTGACCAGCACCCCCAGGTCCTTTTCTGCCTGGCAGCTTTCCAGCCGCTCATCCCCAAGCCTGTAGCGCTGCATGGGGTAGTTGTGACCCAAGTGCAGGACCCTCAGCCCATCGATCCAGCCTGTCCAGATCCATCTGTAGAGCCTTCCTACCCTTGAGTGGATCTACACTCCTGCCTAACTATGAAAAATGGAAATGCTTCTAGGGTCAAAATAGCCTCAGGCATAGGAACCTCCATCCTAAAAGGCACATAAAAATTCAAGATTCATTTGGTTCCACTTTGTAAGTAATTGTGATGCAGTATTATGTGACATAGCAGCTAAATTTATATGTAAAAATATTAATGACAAAAATAGCATATCAGGTACACATGTCAATGAGCTCAAATACAGCATTTTGCAGGATTGTGTGACAGGAGCAATTAGTATATTTCAGATTATCTTCCAAAATTTTGCATACATATCAACAAAGATGTTAATTTGGAAATACCAGGGTTTTTTGGTTGTATTTTCATACATTTGATAGAGTCATTACAGATGAAAAATTAAAAAAAAAAAACCCAACATAATAAAGGCATTCTGAAAGAACTGTTTTCAAAGAAAAGTGTAAAATTTGTAGATAATTGGAAAACTCTAAGGGAGAAAATATAAGAAAGAAATACTGTATTTGTACCTGAATGCTGATGAATCAACCAAAAAACTGCTTTGAAGAATGGTTTAAAACCTTGTAAAAGAAAAATAAAAGTAATAGGGTTCAAAAGGGACAAGTTCAATGAGAATAATACTATAAAAAATAAAGAGTAAAAAATTATCAGTTTGCTGGAGAAAGTAGAAATGTCATTCTGCATATAACAACATTAAACACTAATTACCGTGTTCTTAGCCAAATCAAGAGATAATAAGGAAGGTAAAAACACGTTATCTTGACAATTTGGAACTGTGTTAATTAAATGTTTAAAGACAAGTGGGCAGATAAAAGATGAGAGAAAAATAATTGAAAAGCATACTGTTACAAAAAGAATAGTGCTAGAAGTAAAGAATGGGAAAGGTTCTACTATGTATGTCACTATATACACAGATATTTGTGTATCTATGCATATCTTAGCTTTTATTTAACTTCAGAATGAACATCCGATGCTTACAGTGTCAAACTGATAATAATGACACAGGTGTTATGAAGTAGATGGTACTCTGATATGGAAAAAAGTCGACTGCTTGATTATGATGAATTTTATATGAAAGACAGGCAGTTATACAATGAAGACAACAGGTGATTGTTATTGCTTTGTAAAGCATGCCAGAGGCAGCAACCTATAGGCCTATAGCTGTCTAATTGTTGCAAGGTAATTTAAAATGATGATGCATTCGTATAGTGTTTGTCATTAAATTAAATGGAAGTAATTTTTCCACAGTAATGTCAGATCATGAACCATAAACTGCATAAAAGGAATTTCCCCTGTGAAAACATGGCTCTGGGTCAATCAGAAACCACAAGTGTCCAAACACTGGATCAGCTGAGACACTGAATTATTTGGATGATATATGGGGTGAGAGTGAAAGATTCAATGCCGTTGAAATCTCAAAGCAGACCCCTGAAATCCTCTAGAAGAAAGTATCAGAAATCTACACGGAAAGTAGCCAGTTTAAGTCTGTTACCTTTTACAAGGTATATTAACTGCAATAGACCAGCTGCCCAGGCAGTCTGACCAACTGGGGCAAAGGATTTTGTCACTAAGCTCTTTGATAGCTTTGGTATGGAGCAGAGGCCTTTCTTGAAGGATTTGCTTCTTCCCCAGGATTTAGCCCTAAGTCATTAAATTGAATTAAGAATTATACTATTCATAAGACTGACAGAGGACATTCTTCTCAAATGATTGTTGTAATGATTTCAAACTCTCTGGGTTAGGGTCAATATTTGGGCTTTTCAGTCTGAAAAACTGACCATACATTATTGGCCTCCAGTTATCACTGTTCTGCTAGCCTATTCAGGGTAGTTGTAAATCTTTTCTATTCTCATACTTTCCTTTCAATTTCCACTTTTTTGTTGGAGGGATCTGTTGCTTAAGTATGCTTATTGTAATAGGTTTAATTTCATTTCTATCTTGTGGTTGGTAAATTTCCCTTACTAGAATGACTTTTATTATCATCAGTTCTTGAAATCACTTTTTTACTAAACTTCAGCAAAATTTGAATTGGAGAAAGTGTCAGCCCCTCTGTCCAGATGATTGTCCAACACATATTTCCTAATATTTACTGAATGTGAATGGAAGAAAACCTGTCTGGTACAAACATTACTTGTTCATAATTCTTCAGACCTGTGCTTTCCTCTGTGTCTGTGGAAATTCTGAACTGAGAAATTTTTACCTAAGACTCCCAGATGGTTCAGTCATGTGCTTTACTAGAATGTTCCTCCATCTACAACTTTTTAGGTGCTTTGCCTTCAGTGTCCTGGCTTGAAAAATTATAGTCTGAACAGACCTGTGTTATTATGAAATTAAACCCATATATATTAGCTGATCCCTTTTCTTTTTACCATGCAACATAGTAATTGAGTAAACTGGAGTGGTGCGAATTTTACAGCGTACATAATTTGATCATGTAAAAGATATCAATAATACTCAGCTGTTTTACTTTTCTTCAAATAAGTAATTTTTGTATTTTTTTTTGTTCTCATTCTCTTTTCTGAAATAAACATATACAATTAATATTAGTGTTTACCCTGCCCAATCTGAATTTTATTTTTTTAACTCTGTTCTTTCACAAAGGTGACTCTCTCAGTTTTACCATTTAAAGGTATGTCTAAGATTTTTACTTTTCTTTGATAATTCTAGGGCAGAAGGGCAGATAACTGTCAATGTCTAGTAACGTTTTACTGTACTTTAGCTAAATCTCCAAGGTTCCTTAAACAAAGCTGTAACTATTCTTCTTTATTCTCACATGAAATACTCTGAATCATTGTCCCCACTTTCCAGGTGGCATACTTGAGGAAAAAATTCGAGGTAGATTCATCAAGGTGATCTACAGAGTCACTGTCAGCCATTACTAAAATTTGGAATTCCTGACCTCTACTTCTGAACTTAGACAAATATAACAGATTTTCAAAATACGATAAAGCAATTTTCAAAATATAATATAACAATCTTATCAGTATGAGACCTAATCAAAGCGCTTTGAGGTCCACACGGGTCTCTCAAACACATAGTACTGTTCTTCAGGTTTTGTTTTCAGGCAGATAAATGTGTTCATTTCTCAAATTAAAAATCTGAAATCTTTGGAACTCAGCCAGGCAGCTCCTCTGTGTCTCTTGAGATGTGCATTATCAAATTTATATCCTCAACAAAAAACATTGCAGGCGAAATAGATTTCAAAGGTGAGAGTTCCTATGTGTTTTTAATAATATGCATGATGAAAAAGGGAAAGTATTTAACTGGATTCTAGAAAAA